TGGCTGAAAGACTCTGAAGCACAGAGACCCATCTTTCACAATGCTTCATTGTGGGTTAAGTGGGTCCCATCAAAGTAAGGTTGGAATTGTCAAGTGCACCAGGAGATACTGGAATAGAAACACACTTTTCTTCAGAAAATATATTGACCCATTGCTTCACGTACTGTATTTCTGCCCCTTTTAAGCTAAGTTCTACTTAAGAAGTAGAAGTAATTGATATAATATGAAAAAAATATGATACGACTAAGTTATATCTAAAAGACATAACACTTAAGACAAACTGGTGTGACAAAGAACAAAAGATAGTCTCACTTCGGTACACTGAAGGAATTCACTGGTCATTTGTTCAAGCTTTTCAGTATTAGAGCTTCTGTTTAAAGAAAAAACCCTTTCAAAAGGATCAAAGTTATAAACCTCTCTGGTTTATAGGAAAAAGTAATTCCTTCTGAACACCATTCCTTTTTTTTATTGGTGAATAGATTGTTGTCTATGCTCACTGAGATGTCATGTCAGAAGCTGGAAAAGAATTTTTCCTTTTGAGAATCACTAGTCTTGATGATATTTTGCAGATGTGCAAAGCTTTAAAAAAGAGGGTACCAATAGCATTTTTTTTTTGTTTCTACGCTAGAGGGAAACACTGACACTTTGCCCTTTATGTATGCCTTGAGATATGTCAAGCCTGATTAAAAGGTGGGTCCCATTTCTAGGAAAAACTTCTCTTTTTTTACTGTCTGAACTGGATTATTACCAAAACCAGAAAATAAGAGAAAGATATTCATTCTAAATAGAAGCTGACTTTTAAAGTGCAGAAAAAAGTCATTCTCGGAAAAAAAATCTAGGTAAATTTGATAATCAATTGACTTCCAGCACATTGCTGCAAAGCCAGCTGGAATTGTAGCTTCTGGTTTTCCAGTTGAAGTACTGGGGAAAGCTAGTGCAAAGATGTCACTGTCTAGATGTTTCCTGAAGCTCAGTAGCAAAGTTCTGTATCTGTCCAACAGGAGAGTACAGCCATTTATAATTTCTAATGATTTGTTAGAGACAAAGTGGACTAATGGTAGTTTCTCTGTCTCTGCATATCTTTGGAGGGCTAAGAGAAAGGACCAAAGTCCTTTTTGAAATATCTTCTTGTCTACATAGAAACATATTTTCTTTGATAAAAGATGTAGCTTTAGAACACTTGCTGAAAGGCAAAGTTGAAAGGGGAAAAAAGGCCTGGCATGAAGAATTTAACTCATTTTTCTAGCAATAAGAAATGCCAACATAAAACATTTTATCTGAATATATCAGTCTAATAAAAGATATTACTTTCCTATAAACATTGTCTTTAGCATAAAACATTCACACTGATCTGCTCTCTGAGGAGACAGAATTTAAGGAAGTTCTTCAGCAATATTCCTGGTATATAGAATATATTCCAGAAGTAAGGATGGAATATATTGAATGGTGATCTTACATACAATAGGGAGAGAATTTCTGAGAGAAGGTCAGGATTAAGCTATTTGATACAAGAGGCCATTTGCATTGCTAGGTAAGATCACAGCTTGTTGCAAAGGCATCTGAGGAAATGATGTTAAGACAGCTGGTTGTGTAAGTTGATGCTGAGGACTGAGCTGCAAGATTGAGCTCTGAAGCAAGGCAAGCATAGCATAGAAAAAGCTAGCAAAAGACCTGGGAGTTAAGACCAATGAGAAATTCAAAATTCCAAACAGGATTTTTAAAGAATTCTCATCATCTGCTTTAAACATATCAATTGGAAAATGGCAGAATGGTAAGCACAATTGTGTCCTGTTGAGCTGTTAAAGTCAGAAAAGAATGCTGAAGTGTGGAAATTTCAAAATGCAGTACTTTTCAGAAGACCTCAATAGTACAGTGAATCAACCAAAGATGGTTATTTAAAACATATTTTAAAATACCTAGCTAGAAAAAAGTGCATACTGGCTTAGATAGAGGGAGAAAAGTGTTGCACAGCAAAGGCTAAAACAGCACTGTGCAGATCATCCTATTTGCTACTTAATGATTTGAAAATAGCTTTCTAAAGATGCTTCAGTAACTGCACATACTTACTCTGACAGGTGTTAAATATACTAAATATAATATGTACAGATTCCTCACTCCAGGTGTGTGAAAAACAAGAAAGAAAAGAAGTACGGTTGTGAACTCATACGCCCACTCCAGTCCTGCTTCCAGCCGCTTTCTGGAATGGAAACAGAACGTTAGTAATCAATCAAGCTTGTTTCTCCCAGGTCTACAAAAAGTGCAAGGCTACTTGTTCAGCCTGTACAAAATAATTCAATATGAGCTGATAGAAGAGAAGCAGCTCCACCAGAAGACAAGTCAAGGAATGAACAACGTGGTGTTTCAGCAGCAGTGGAGCCTCATTAGCACTTACTAGATTTGCTGATCCCAACCAATCATACTACAATTATTTTTAAAAGTCACAGAAACATTAAGATCAGGAGATTGAATTTACTTTCTTCGTTAGATTAAATCAAAGCAGCTAGTTACCTGACTCCAGCTCCAGCTTTCAGAAAAAAGATGACATGATATATGAAAATGCCTTCAAACCAAATATCTGCCTCCTTAAATGTGCTTTTGATAGCTTACCTTATCTGCTCGCAGTGTTCATTTTCTAAGCATACCTTAGCTGCATTGTCTAATACATTCAAGTATAATAATTCTTACTGGTTATAAATTCAATTTCACCAAACTTACACCAGTGTTTAGTATCATGTCACATCATTATCAATATGCTGCAGTAGGGCAGATAGTCCATTAAGGAGATCATTTTAGGACTGGTTGTGGAACAGATTGCCAGGCTGTTGTGACACTGTTTTGGCTGATACTGTGCTAGCTCATGAACAAAGAGGTTTATGTTCTCTGTGGTTATCAGCCTGATGCTTTTCATTGAGCAATAAAGGGAAGAGTGAAACCTCACAGCAGGAGAGGAAGTCTTTCCATTGATTTGTGTTAGCTTTAGGCAGTTTCTACATTCTTTAAAAAAAAAAAAAAATTAAAAAAAACCTGTCACATAAACAGGCTCAGTATTAATCTCTATAATATGAACACGGAGATATGAACATACTATTTTATGTCTGAGCTCTTCCTTGATTGTTCTTTCCATCACAAAATGGATGTACAGTCAGGTACAGGCATATGGTACTATCTTGGACTCTGTCAATAAGGTCTGTACAGCACAGAATGTGTACTTGTCAGACATTAATGCCACACCATAAATGCACACTCCTGTGGTATAAAAGAAATCATCTGGATTAGAAAGGTGCAAGACAAAAGTTCCCATTTCCTCAGTAGTACTCTACAAATTTGCACATGCACTGGAATCTGCTTCCTCTCAGTTCTGGTTTCTCTGTATTGTAAATGGTCTTCAAAGGAGAATTAATGCTTTATCTACAATAGTTCCAAGAAGTCTTTAGCTTCATCAGACATCTGCTCTATCTAGTTATGATGACTCACAGGAACAATTTTATTCTTTGAGAGTCCTCCCTTGCTTGGTTAGAAATTAAATGTTCTCATTTAGCACTAGATGAAATCTCTAAAGCTTCAATCATACTTGAAGCAAGCAAAGTAATCCTTAGAAAGCAATGCTTTTTGAAAGCAGTTTTGGTCATCAGCATGATTTGCTGTTCAAAGGACCTCATTTATGCAAAGAAATGAAAGTAATTTAACAGCTTAATTCAATAGTTCTGTGATAGTAGCTAATATTTTCTTGACTTAAAAACAATTTTGTATTTTTTTTTTCTATTTGCTCCAGCAACTGTTTTTCTGGAGTTTTGGAAAAGAAGGCGAGCAGTAATTGCTTATGACTGGGACTTAATAGACTGGGAAGAAGAAGAGGTTTGTATAAAAAAAGTACTCCTTAATCTTTAATACAAAAAGATTTGGTTAAAAATGTAAGCATGCTTTTCTTTTTGCTTTTTTTTCAATTCATTCTTTGAATCTTCATAAACTAGGAAATAAGCATTTTTCTCCTCAGATGCAAAAAAACTTTCCCCAGACCAAACTGTCCTGTCTTTTTACACCTTTATAAATCTAAATTAATTTCAACATATCAGTGGCTGTCATTGTGGGAGATTTCAGGAAAAAAAATGTACTTTAGAGGGGAGCTAACAAATTTTACTTTTGAATACAAAGAAATTCTTGATAGCCTAGAGTACCATGAATTTTGGGAAAAGGGTTTTTATGCATTGTTTTAGATAGCCACTAAGAACATTGATGGAGAGAAAGCCTTGTGAGGCTTGTACCAGCTTCTGAATGTTCAGGTGCTGGTTATCAAAGTATACAGTGCTGTGGAGAGACTGAGGGAGATGAACCAACTCAAAGGATTTAATTCATCCTCTGTTGATAGAGAAAATACCCTTAGAGAGAAAAGTAGTGATTACCAGAAAGAAACAGCATGCTCTTGGTACTGAGAGCTGAGGTCTAAGTGGAACTACCAGGTTTTATTATGCAGGAGAAAAACAAGATTCAGTGGATGTGGTAGAAAAAGTGCTCCTCAAGTGTGATTAGGACATACTGGTGTCCACGGAGTCTGCTCTCCTTCCTCTGCAGAGATTGGCCTGAAGCTCTTGGAGGGACTGTAAGAAGCTGCTGTAGTGGTCTCAATGCAGCTGAAAACTTCTGTATTCCTGCCTCTGTGGAAGAATTTCTTTTTCATTAATCTTGCTAGCAGAGAAACAGACTTCTGAGTTATGGGATTTTTGTCTCTATGAGGCAAAGTAGTTCAATGAGGCCATGAAATGGTAGAATTGCTCATTTGCTGGTAGAATTTTTATATTTTTTTTAATTCTTAATGACTAAGAAAATAATCCAAGAACATAAAATGAAATAACTTACACAACTGGAAATTGGTTTCTTCATAGCAACAGGAACATAATCTGTGCATATGTGCCGTCAATTCTTGGTAACACTTCAGGACCATTGTCAAATATTTAGAAAATACCCTAATACTGATTTAACTCTCTTGAGATTAGCAGCCTGCTCTTGCCAATGCTGATGAGTCACAGCCAGACCACAATGAGATAGGCCTGCCTGAGGTTCAGATATTGATCAGGATTGAATTGCAGTGATTATGTCCCTTCATGCCTAGTTGCAAAAAAGCCACTGCTGCTCCTGCTGACAGCTAAGGCAGAAGACAGATGTACTATATTGAAATTTCCAAGTCAGGATTATAGCTCAGTGTCCTGAGAGTGAGAAGGAGCCTTTGAACTAACAAAATACACAAGCAAGTGCAATATGAGGCCCTTTTTATGATTTTTTTCCAGGAAGTCTGGTCTTGCAGATGTTTATAGTTTGACATGTTATATACTTGCACCTTTCACCATTTAATCTACCTGGATTTGGGATTATGCTGAATTATAAAGCCACCCACCTGAATCTGTGATGATCAGTTCATTTACCAATATTGAATTTCATGGTAATGTTGTCCTTAAATTATGTTTTGCCTTTTCCCCCCCCCCCCCCCCTTTACATGTATAATATTAAGTGCTTTCTGGCTGCTGTGGTAATGCTTGGAGTAGTCTTTTGCTCAGGTGTGAGCCCAACAGTTCCAAGCGCTTTCAGGACCACTCTCCATTCTGTTTCCCTCCCCTCTTTATGCCCAAACTCCACTTACAGCCTTGGTGGTACTACTGAAAGAGCCTGGAGGAAAGCATTCCCATGGAAGATTCATCCTCTGCTTTCTGAGCTTTTTTGGAAGACCGTTACCATGTCTATGCAGCTAAGCCTTTAGCTGGTATAAACACTGAAAAGACAGGAGAGAGTAGAGTTGTTAGATTTTTCCTCTTTCAACCAGAAAACCTGAAACAGCTTCTGGAAGTTTACACTATCCTCATAGAAATATGATGTGTTTATTTTATGATGTCTATCAAATAACATTATTTTTTATAAGCAATGCTTATGTTCCACTTATTTCAGTTTGGCATGCAGGATGACATATGCATGTCGGTAATTTGCAGAGGATATCTGTTCCCTGCTGATGGTCAGCTGGCCTTTTATTCTCACACCAGGCTTTTTCCAATAAGCCCTGTCAACAAGACCAAGTCAGGTGCCCTGGGATGAGTGTACCTGCTTGCTGCATCCCACGTCTGAGACGGGAGGAGAGCAACTAGAGTTCTGTAAAGCCCCTCAGGCTAAATTAAGGTGAAATGACAGCAAACGATCTGTTAAGCACTTTATTTCTAATGAAAAACAAACAAACAAACAAAAAAACACCCCAAAAAACCCTTAAACTTGGAAAATGAAAAACGTTGGCACTGTGGGTTCTTATGGAACAAAATCTATGAAAGAGAGGAAAAGAAGAGAAGAGAGGGACAGGAAAGAAAAGAGATAAGGAAAGATGTCACCACCCTTGGATCTGGCAAGGGTCTCAGACAGATGGGCAGTCTCTGGTGGTGGGCGCACACGCAGCAAGACTGGCTGATGTTGGTTGCTGGGCGCACACATGGCTCCCTCAGTTTGAGTCTTTATACAGCTCAGCCCCTCACCTCCAGCGAGGGCTGATGTAACTCTTGGCCCACTGTGCAGGTGCCTCTGGGGGAGGTGGTCACAGAGGGTCTTTTCTGGGGGTCTTGGTGGTCCTTGAGCCCCCTCCTCCTATGAACTCTATATGACCTTTGGCCATACATGGTAGTGTTTTGCAGAACACAGAACTGCGTGTCCTCCAACAGCCTTCTGCATCCCACTAATCACCTTCTGCATCTTGCTAACTGCTCCTCTTACTGTTCTGTGCAGAACTTGTCTTGCTACAATGTTTGAGACATATACTAACTCTTTCAGTCTCTCACACTGCTCCAGAGCTATTCATTGCACCTTCTTACAGTTCTAGTGTGAGTTTGATAAGTCTCTACAGCAGAGGGTAGCAGTCTTTTCAGAAGCAGTGTGCCAGATGGTACTTTTCTGTCTCAAATTAGAGGATAAAGATGCCAATAGGAACTCAGCTGTCTGCTTGTCAAATATTTATGTGACCAGTTATCAGAGCATCCATATCTTATTGCATTTGAGGCATCAGTTCCTTCTTTGTTCAGCAGTCAGTGGGTTCCCAAGAGTAGGAGCATATTGCCTCACAGAGGTGTCTTCTATGAAGACGCTACAGTTTCCAGTCCTCTTGCCTACTGCACAATTCAAGCATGTCCTTGCTTTAAGGTCAGGTCTATGGACCACTGCCTCCTTTTCTTGAGTATTGAATGCTGCACTTTTCCATTGGCACTGGGGTCTTTGTAGGACTTTGCTCCTGCAGGACAGTCACAATTTGGACGCAGGTGTTCCAGGTGAAAAAGCGTTGAGATCTTTTCCCTGTTCTGTGATTTGAAGTCCACCTCTTCGCTTTGCCATTACCTTTAGCTGCAAGCAGGATAACCTGCTAACAACAGGCCTTGCAAGGAGATTTACTTCTAGGGGTGCTATCATTATCCCAGTGATGAAGATTCAGGTGCTCAAACTTTTGGAAATCTCTTTTCCACATCTGGGATATAGAGAACAATATATCCTTGGATTAGAAAGAATAGGACTCCTGCAAGAATTCACCTGTTGAAGGACTCAGACACCTTCTGAAAGAAAATAATATATTTCACAAGGAAATTTAGAGTACCTTTTCTAGTGCAGAAAGATCTGACCTAAGGCACTGCACAAAGATCTGGCCTAAGGCAGTGCATATTAATCCGTATCTGATACTCCAGAAACCAGTATGTTTTCTTCTGTGAGTAAAGAATTGGAATGCTCCATGTCTGAGAAGCAGGAAGGAAGGACAACAGTCTGTTTTATGTAGACTGAAAAAGACATATCCTGTGGAGATTGATCATGAAGTTGTACATGTCAGTACAGAGAATTTTGTCTCCAGAAGGTGAAAATTTTACTCCTAAAAGTGCTGCTTTCTAATAAAAACATTGCTAATTAAATTTCCTCTGTACATTTCATTCAGTTATCACTGCACAAAATCAGCCAATTTCTTTTATTAGCTATTTCAAATAAATCAATTAAAGAGTTCTAATTACCATTTTAAGTCACAAGCTTTTGTTAATGAAGATTGTTATTTTTATTAACATTATCTGCCATGTCTAGCTTTTGCTTGCTTTAATTTTCATTGTCAAATTGAAAAAGCAGGTTTTGCTACAGAGGGAAATTTATTAATTCCTACCAACAATAGATTGAAAAAAACCCCACCATTTATAAGGTTTCCTTTCACTTAATTATCACTTTTCTGTTCTAAATGAAGAGACAAAGAACTGAAACAATTAAGACAATGGGAAGGAGAATTTAGTTTGTTCAGATATGCAACCTTCTGAATTCCTCACCACTTCAGATTTTCACCTTCAGGATGGCATGCCACAGCCCCTGCACTGTCCAGGTCCCCCAGCCTGGGCACGTGGGCTGAACATATTCTGGCTCTTTCAGCCTTGCAAATCTGGATTTCCTTTTCTTGTAAATGAGGTGCAAGGTGGGAGACATGGAAAATAACTGGGTCTTGGATGGGTGTACAGCAAGAAACCAACTGCACAGAGTTCCTGGCACTCCCAGCTGAAATATGGCTTCTATAACTATTTACAACATACTTTTTTCTTTTTCTTTGATGTCACTTTCTTTATATCATTAACCTCAGACAGTTACAGTACTGCTTACTTCCTGCCCCAAGCTAGGCTCAGCATTGCTGAGTGTCATTAAACAGGTATGATGGTTCATGCCAGAGTTTGAGTTTTGTGTGGAAATGTATCTGTAAAAATAGCATTTGCATTATCTGAATCAATTGTAGATTGTAGGAGATACCTAGATTCATGGTGGGTACGATAAAGACTTCCCTATAGTGCAGACTGTGCAAGAATCAAACCTTGGCTTAAGAGAGC